ACTCAGAAAATTACCAAACCGTCCATTGCTTTTCACTGTACCACTGTTTTATTTTTACTTGTCTGATGAAACCCCGTTTTGATTACTTTGTTATCTGGCTCTTTAATTTGCTCAAGCAATAATTCTGTTTTGAATGCTTAAACTGTACACACGTCACTGGATTAATATATTATTATTGACAATAATAATATCATCAACAACACAGTAAAACAGATCGTATTTTTTTTATGTGTGATTGCTCCCAATAAAATTTGATTTCTCTTAATAACAATCAAACATGCCTCTAGTGAGTAGTCTAAATAATTTAGGATTGAATTAAATCTCGGGCCCACCTGGGTCCCACGGACAATGAGGTGGCAGATTGGAAGGACAAGGTAGTCATTGTCATAAATGATAATTTCTAACAACTAATCTCATATATGACTTGTCTGTCTCTCAGCTTTTGGCTTCTAGTCAGGCCTTTATGGGTATTACCATTACCTGCTTCGTACGTAGGAGCAGTAGTAGTACACCAGTACTCCCACTCCCACCCGTTATTTTATTCGATAATGACAGGTTCATGGTTTTGCCTTTTGTATTTGAGAAAATGACACATAAGGAAGCAGGAGACGATAACTAAGAATGTCATGTTTTTAAAGACTTTCCTTTCTGAATTATTAATTAATATAGAAAATTTTAAAACTAGAAGCTCAATTATAATTATAAAGTATATAAAAGTTAAATAATAAATTATCTAAAACTTTACTTTTGCATTCCTGTATCAAATTCTCAGGTTAAATTAATTTCCCAAATCCCGAGTGTATTGAAACTCAGATTCTAAATAATTTATTATTGGGAGTATGTTATTTACAAGTGAACTAGAAAATACCTTGTGCGTTGTACAGGATTAATAGAAAATTTATATAGTTTTGTTTTTTCTCTTTTTTATTTGTTTTTGAACATTATGTGAGTGTGCATCTTTATAAAGTCCTTGCTTATTAAAATATGACTCATATTGTATTCAATGTGTGATTTAATTTTAATCAATCAAAAATTGGCATAGTTGATAAGTGTTTATCTTATAACCTACAAAATCTTGGAAATCAAATGTTACTACTGATATAAAAATTTTGCTTGTGAACAATCTATAAATATTTTTGTAAATATTTTTAGTCTAGAGACATGTCTCAATCTTGTGAAGTTTTGAGACTTTTTCACTTAGCTAAGCATTTCATAACCAATGTGTGCGTGTGTGTGAGAGATCTAATTTTAATAGGCCTTAGAACATTATAATTGTTTTAATTAGATTACACAAAATATTATTACAATAGTTGAATGAAAACGACAGAGTGTATCTTTGTATCTACTTTTTGGGCTTTTTCTATAATATGTGATGAAGTAATTAGAGAAAAGAAAGAAATGAAAATAGCCACCCATGCAAAACTCAAAAAAATAATAAATATCATCCCTGTGTCTCTTTTTCTTTACTTTAAACAACACATAATTTATTTTTACAATAAGTATAAAAAATAAAATTAAGGTTCATTTTTACTCAATCACACATTGATATGGCACTTATCTTAAATCATCCAAAATTTATAAATTATTTTTTAAATATTAATAGCTCAAACTATTTTTACATAAATTTATAGATAATTTGTAAATTGTATGTGAAGATTATAAACAATAATAATATTTACAAATAATAATATACATGCTCGATACTCAATTTAGAGGAACTATCATTCTTCTTTTTCATCCTTGTGATGGCATTCTAGAAAATCAAGAAAAATCAACTAAGTGGTCACCCATTTAGGGTACCAACAAAGAAAAAATGGATTTGAAACCATAGCTTGCCAAAATGCTATTGCAAGGATGGAAGAGAAGAATGGTAATTCCTTCAAAGAGAGTCCCATGCATATATATATATATATATATACATACATACATACATACATATACACACACACACACACACACACACACATACATACATACATACATACATACATACATACATATATATATATATATAAGTCAGTTTGAACTCAATCAAATCAAATACTTACATGACATATTTGGATTAATGAGAATTTAGATTTGATTTTGGCTTCAGAGCAAATATTGCATTTGGACACACAAAAATTTTTCAATTTATATTTGATATTTACTTTGTGATTTCAAATTTCTTCTACAATCAATTATTTAAAATTATAGTCACTTCATGTTTTTATCAATTGAAAAATAGAGGTAAGCTTATATATCACTTTCAATTTTTGTTTTCGTTTTGAATTTTAAGTCATCTCTCTTCTTCATTAGAAATTTCTTGAACTACCAAAACAAATGATATTAAATATATAAATTTTACATGTGATATTTAAAATCTAAAATCTAAATTCAAATATACGAATCCAAATGCTACAAATAACCTATTTGAGTAGTTATTTAGTTCAATCACTTCAATTTTAAAATACCAATACCATGCTTAGCTTTAACACCTAACTACAAAAATTTGCCTAGTTAGTGAGAATATTGATGAGATAGTAGAAGATTATAAAAAGAATAAGTTATAACTATAGTTTAATATTTTTGTGAAAAAATAAGATAGTTTAACTGTTGTTTCTAGACTTTTTTTTTTTTTTTTTGCTTCACAAGATATCCTCAAAGCTGGTAGTTATAGGTTTAATATTTTAAAAAATTTGAGTATCATTTAAAGAGTTATTCTTTTTCAAACAATGTTCTCCGTACATGTCTCTAAGAATTTAATTTTGCAACGATGTTTAAGAAATTTAGATTGCTATCATCTATGCTATATTTCACTTGGTGTTGTTTCTAAACATCCAACAAATGTAATTTGATTTATTTATTTTTTCTTTTTTCATCTGGGCTTTACTAATGCATGAGTTTTGTTGAATGCCATGTGGAGACGTAGCCAACCTAGTTCTGTTACAAACACAGCAATAGATGTTATCAGCCATTCATGGGAATGTTGACTAATAAGGACACCCCACAGCCTCACAACTACAAAGAAAATGAAGAAGAAAAGAAAAATAAAAAAAGTGAAAGCCTTGGGTTTTTTAATAAAAGGATTAAAATACATATGGGTTTAAGGGGCTATCCCTGAATGCAAGAAACTAAATCTAACAATATTGGAAAAAATCCACACAAAGATAGAAATTAAGACATCAACACTGTAACCAAGGACATCCAGAATGAAGAATCTCTGCTAAAGAGCCCACAAAAGTCTCTGACTATGACAAATTATGAGAACAAGGCGACATCTAAAGGACGTTGGCAAATTACCGTTGATAAGCCAATAAATGGGGGAAAAGCAATAGTTTTTATCATAGTATTAAAACATAGATTAATATCATTGGCTTGATAAAATACTTTGTTTATCATTGCTTTGATTATAATTTAACTATAGTTTTGACAATTAATTGTTAAACTAATATCTTAATTCATTTAACGATCATTTAATTTTCAGTACTTTTATTTTTTAATAAAAAAGTTGAAGTTATTAAAATTAGGAAAATTACAGTCAAGGACCCCTAGAGATAGTTAATTACATTATAGGATCAAATAATTTTGATATTACTCTACAAGATCAAACGACTTAAATGTAATTAAATTTTATTGTGAAGAGACAAAATTACCTCTAATGTATTTTTATTATGACAAGAGAATTGATTGTCATTAAAATAAGAATGAGATTTTTTTAATGAAAACTTGTTCATCACAATTTCTTTACCAAATTAATATTTTATAATTGTTAATGAAGGAATTGATTATTGTTATAATAAAAATGGGACATATTTTTCTTGAATGAGGACTTATTCACTGAATCATAACATTCGCTCCTCTCCACCATCAAGTTAATTGTTTTTTGAGTTGTTAATAAGGGGATCAATTATTGACTTATTGTTAGAATGAAATTGAGACTTGTTTTTTTTTTGGATGAAAATTTCTTCATCGAATCACAACACTCGTTTGTTTTCACCACCAAGTTAATATTTTAGAGTTGTTAATAAAAAATTTATTGTTATTAAAATGTAAATATGAGACTTTTTTTTTTCTAGTGGAAAGTTATTGTTAAAAGAGTATATAATATACACATGAAGGATATTTTTATTTTTTTATAATAAAGGTAGATACTTTGATCCCATAATAACAGAATTATTTAATGTAATTAATTGTCTTCAAAAGTCTTTGATTGTGATTTTCCCATAAAACTATTACACATTCCCTCCCCCTTCCTCCATTAAAGAATACTACATGCCTGGGATAAAATGTTTTAAAAATATAAGAAATTTTAAATTTTTTAAAGTGTAATTTATGAAATCTTTTTAAAAATAACCTTAATTAGAAGTGCAGTTAATAAAATTTTTTAATTGAGAACCTAATTGAATGAGAGTAAACATAGAAAAAGTATGTAATTTTAGAGATAATTAAAAATTAATAGTATAATTCAATTAAAAAATACCTCATAGTATTAAAGAGTAAACTTTTCAATGAAACATGTCCATCAAACCAAATAATTTATTAATTAATGGAAAAATGATGTGAAATGATTGGATAAATTACTATAATTCGATAAGCTTAAAAGTGAATTGTGCGAGTATCTTGTTGACGTTGAAAGAGGTTATAATTCATTTTGGAATAACAAATTGAAAGTTCATTCATTTACACAAAAGACACGATGAGAGGAAATTAATTAAAAAAGGGAAAAACTGAGCTGACACGCATTGGGTTGGGGGGGGGGGTGTGAATGGAGTCCAAGAAGAACGTGAAACGGAAAGTGAAAAATCCAAAAACCCCAGAAAGAGAAAAGGAAGGAAGAGACCCACGAAAAGCTTCAAGCTTTTTTTTTTTTTTTGGGAAGCTTTGTTCGCTTGGCTGCTTCAATCGAAACCCGCTTTTTCCACGTTTTATTGCATTCTTTTTTTTTTCTTTAATTTTTGTTTTCGCCGACACATACACTCTCTCTTACTCATACTCATTACTTCCTTTTTCTTTCTTTTTCTCCTTCTCTCTCCTCATTACTCTAAGCTTCGAATCTCCATCTCACTCGGCGTCTCTTTCTTTAATGGCGATGCCTTGGACAACTGGTTGCGATCTCACAACCACCTACTACTCCAACCCCATCTTCTTCATCTTCTTCTTCTCGTTCCTTTTCCCTGTGTCTTCACTGCTCTTGCATGCCCTTCATCACACCTGAACCCTGTCTGAAACGACTTTCAGTTCCGTCTATAGTGACCGGCAACAACAATGGCGGCCATTCGTGTGGCTTCTTCTCTCTTTCTGCCAATCGCTTTGATCTTTGCTGCTCTTCATCTTGCTTTAGCCAACACTGACGCGACTGATGGTATTTACTTCTGCTTATTGTTTTCTTAGTTTGATCATTCCTGTGGCTGATTGACAAAAGGTTGCTATTAATATGCTGACGATGTGGCAAATGCTCTGAAGTTCAGAAAAGTTTGGATTTTGAATTGCGACTGAGGCAAGTGAAACCAAAGTCGGTGCCTTGACTTGGGGGCTTTCATTTCGTAATCTATTTTCGATTGCAGCGAAAATGTAATAGACAAAGCCAAGACATGGCTTTATCATGCTTTCTAATGCCAACGCAAGAGATTTTTAGATTGAAGTGGGCGTGAGGCATTGACATTTTTAGGGGCTTTGATCTTGTTCGTCTACTCTGATTGCGGGGCAATGCAATGAACAACGTTATGCCCACATTCATTTCCGCACCAAAACCATTTTTTTTAAATATCTTTATTTGAAATTATTTGGAAGTTATGATGCCATTACCTTTCTTATTTCTTAGTTTTGGGATGTTAATGTGGTTCTTGCTGCTTCAGTTCAAGCACTTCAGGTTCTGTACAACGCTTTAAACAGTCCTTCTTGGCTAACTGGCTGGAAAATTGGCGGTGGTGATCCTTGTGGAGAATCATGGAAAGGGATAACATGTGAGGGCTCAGCCATTGTTTCCATGTATGAGATGATACTGCACAAGTTTAACTTTTAAGTTTCCTCAGTTTTGTATTTTGTTCGAGAAAACTAACCAACAAGTCTCATTTCTGAAATGTTAATTAGAGAACTCTCGGGTTTGGGACTCAATGGGACTCTGGGATACCTGCTTTCGGACCTTATGTCATTGAGACAACTGTGAGATATTCTAATTTGTTGTTTCAGTGCACATATGATTTTCACATGTTTATATCTATATTCATTTTCTCTTTTGTCCTCGTCAGTGACTTAAGTGACAACAAGATCCACGACACAGTCCCTTACCAGTTACCACCAAATCTGACAAGCCTGTAATGCTAGCTTTCCGTCATTTGATTTTCTTATCATTCTTGATCAGCTTCACTCTGTTATTTAATTTAATATGCCATTGCTCTCTGATTCTAACATTCAGCAACCTTGCAAGCAATAACTTGAGTGGAAATCTTCCTTATTCCATTTCTGCCATGACTTCCCTTAACTATCTGTAAGTTGCTTTTCTGTTCACAGTTCATATATAACATTATTATTCAGTTTAGTTATATATTGTAGCTACTGTCCAATTGCATTTCTATGTGATTTTTAGGAATGTAAGCCACAATGCACTCTCCCTTTCAATTGGAGACATTTTTGCTGACCTCGCTGATCTCAGTACCCTGTAAGATATCTTGCAAAGTGCATTGATTTCTTTTAACTACTTTTTATAGTGACATTCAATTTCCTTTGGACAAAAATTTTAACTAATAGGGTTAAGATTAATTATTTAAGATCATGGTTAGCTGATTTCAGTACTTTTTATTGTTTTAGCAATTAATAGAAGTGACTTAACTTCTTTGGCTGAGAGAATTTTGCTCTCCAGGAATGAACTACTGGCTATTTCTTTTTAGTAATATTTTGCTTTTTGGGGATAGATTTTGTTGTAGTTTTAGTTACATGGACAGATATCCAGCATTTTTCCTTTATATTGTCAGTTTTATTATTTCCAGGATGCTTAAATTAATCATTAACGTGTGATTTGAATTTTTTGTACGATGAATGTTCAATTGCAGCATTTAGTCTTAGATGCCCAGTTTGGAGTTTATTCTTTGCTCTTAAGTGTTCTGTTCCACTTACTCTAGTTTTTGTTTCTGTTGACGTTGGATAAAGTATAGAGGGAGAGCAAACTATTTTTAACCCAAGTATTATTTTTTTGATAAATTGATAGTTATTATTGGGCAACTTTTTCTAACCTAAGTTCTATTCTATTTGACAAGTGTCTGACATGTGCATTTCATGATGCAGAGATCTATCGTTCAATGACTTTTCTGGAGATCTTCCTCCCTCATGTGGTTCATTGTCCAATCTTTCTTCTCTGTATGTTGAATAATATTTTAATAAATGACCTAGTTGAGGTTTGCAGTGCATTCTTGTTTAACTTATCTTAATATGTTGCAGCTTTTTGCAGAACAATCAATTGACTGGTTCTCTTAGTGTTCTTGTTGGTCTGCCTTTAGATACCTTGTAAGTTTTTCTTACTTTTGGGCTCAAATTATCTACATACGATCATCTAATTCTGCTCCAGTATTTTCCAGAAATGTGGCAAACAACAATTTTACTGGATGGATACCTCATGAACTTAGTTCAATTCGTACTTTCATGTACGTGCTACTGCAGCTTTCTCTGAATTGTCTTTCTACTTTTGAATGCCTAATTTCTTCATTATGATTAATGTGGTTCTTTAATTATTGATTAGATCCAATGGGAACTCCTTTGACAATGGCCCTGCTCCTCCTCCTCCTCCACATACAGCCCCTCCTCCCAGAAGATCTCCTAATAGCCGTCACCAATCTGGATCTGGTTCTCATAAAGCACATGCTTCTGAAACTGGCAATGAAGATGCTGATAGTCATAAGGGTTTGTCATCTTGGGCTATTATAGGCATTATTTTGGGTTCAGTGTTCCTGGCCATTGTTGTGCTACTTGCTCTTGCAGTATTCATCCGAAAGCAAAAAAAGAAGGAAAAAGGTGTAAGAACATCCAATGGGACTCCTCCTTTTGGAACCAATAATGGTGAATTCCTTCTCAATAGCTCTCTCTCTCTCTCTCTCTCTATATATATATATATAATATTTTCTGCTTGTATTTTTAAAGACCAACATTAATGTGGGATATGCATTAATCCGCTACATTGTCTCTTGAAGGTAAATATTTCAAGTCACATTCCTTGAATGTTGCTTCTTTGGGCAACTTAGGATTTAGAGCTTCTTACCTTATGTAATTGCCTTGCTAGGCATATCTGCATTTTGTTCATTTAGATATCTTGCACCATGTAGTTGTTCATTTTATTCTTGTCATCAATATCATCTGCCTTCCATAGGTCATGGTCATTGGGGCAGTTTTTCCTCCTATTTCCTTATATGTTAATTTGCAATGTCTTTGGACATTATTACCTTTTGTAGAATTCTCACACTGATTACTTTCACATGTGTATCTTGGCATGGATTCATCTGGCCTTGGACTTGCAGTAACTCCTCCAATGCAAGAACAGAGGTTGAAAAGTGCTGCTGTTGTTACTGATCTAAAGCCTCCTCCTGCGGAAAAAGTGATAGCTGAGAGGGTTCCTTCAAAAAACGGATCTGCTAAGCGGATAAAATCCCCTATAACTGCTACATCATACACTATTGCTACTCTCCAAAGTGCAACAAATAGCTTCAGTCAAGAATATTTTGTCGGTGAAGGTTCTCTTGGTCGAGTTTACAGGGCTGAATTCCCTAATGGGAAGGTAATCCTTTTATGTTGCAATTTTTACCACCTTCCTGTGATCATTTTGGAAATTACACTTGCTATGTATAGATATGTACATTCAAGGAATATATTTTAGATGTCAAGCCGGATCCTTCTTTATTAAACATCTTTAGCCGTAATTAAACTGTAGATTACATGGATTATTATGTTGTAGATATTTTACTTCACTGTTAGGTTTGGCTATGCTGTATCTTCTATCTGAGGCTGCTTTAGAAGTCTTGTTAACTTTTCAACATTTGGCATGTAGTTTCCCATTCAATCTATGTTTTCTCTACCCACTACTCAATACCCTCTCTCTTTTGTGATTTGACTTTCACATTTTTTGTGATATTCAAACTTCAGAAAGGAGCAAATACTTTATATCCTACACCAATTATGTATTTTTCAATTTCTAATGGTTTTAAAGTTTTGTTTTGGTTAGATCATGGCCATTAAGAAGATCGACAATGCGGCACTGTCGTTACAGGAGGAAGACAACTTTCTTGAAGCTGTATCAAATATGTCACGCTTGCGACATCCAAACATTGTTACACTAGCCGGATATTCTGCAGAACATGGGCAGCGTCTTCTGGTTTATGAGTATATCGGTAATGGAAATCTACATGATATGCTCCATTTTTCTGAAGATAGCGGCAAGGCTTTATCTTGGAATGCTCGCGTTCGAATAGCACTTGGCACAGCTCGAGCTTTAGAGTATGTTGGGCTCTTGTTAAGTCCCTTCCATCATGTCTATTGCAGTCATGATAGTATATCACATTTTAATTTTATTGTTCAGGTACTTGCATGAAGTATGCTTACCTTCAGTTGTACATAGAAACTTTAAATCGGCAAACATATTACTTGATGAGGAGTTGAATCCTCACCTGTCTGACTGCGGTTTAGCAGCATTAACGCCAAACACTGAACGACAGGTTGGTGAAGATACTTCTATGTCCTGCATGCATGGCTGGACATGACATCCATTAATCCTTTTGCCACATGCCCTGTTGGTAAATTTCTCTGTATCTTGAACAGGTTTCAACTCAGATGGTTGGCTCATTTGGTTACAGTGCTCCTGAGTTTGCACTATCGGGAATTTACACAGTAAAAAGTGATGTTTACAGTTTTGGAGTGGTAATGTTAGAGCTATTGACAGGTCGGAAGCCACTTGACAGGTGAGCCAAGATTACATGTCCTAAAGCAAGATTAATGTTCACTTTGGTGTTTTTCTGTACTCCATGACCTTAAATTCTTCATCTTCATGATAGCTTGGATTAATTTGTAACTTCTATATGTGCAGTTCACGAGCCAGATCAGAGCAATCTCTTGTGAGGTGGGCTACTCCCCAACTTCATGATATAGATGCCTTGGCCAAAATGGTTGATCCTACTTTGAATGGTATGTATCCTGCGAAGTCGCTGTCACGCTTCGCTGATATCATCGCCCTCTGTGTTCAGGTAATGTTCTTGAATGGTTCATTTGGTTGTAGTGCTCCGTGTGTAATTTTACCATGTTACATTTGTGAGTTTCTGAGCATGTTATCAGTTTTAAATAATCATTTAACTAAATCTGATTTTCGGTGCAGCCGGAGCCTGAATTTCGACCTCCCATGTCGGAGGTTGTGCAAGCATTGGTCCGGCTAGTGCAAAGAGCGAGTGTAGTCAAACGCCGTCCCAGTGATGAAGCCGGGTTTGGTCACAAGACCCCAGATCATGAAGCCTATGACATGTCTTTTTAAAGGTTTCACCGTTTTGATGTGATCTTATTTCAGTTTTGTGTAAAGTGATGCGGACAGAACACAGGAAGGAATAGACAAGTTGTGAAGATGTGTCGAACAGATTAAAGATATTTGTAATTACATGCATTGGAATTTACTATTACTTGAGGATAAAAGTGCTATATGGAAAACATATGTATATTTAACTTGCCATGATGTTGTATATTGTAATTTATTCTGTCCCCCTTTTCTTTAAATTTCTGTCTGAAGTGTCTTCTAACTCTATACAGCCTGTTGCGTTCGGGTCCGTTTGGATTTCAGTTGGGTATAATAGATTATGAAAATAATTGATTAAGTGATAGATTTTAATTATAATTGATTATGTTATAACGTAATGTGTTTGGATACTTTTTTTTTAAATTGATTTTAACAGAATTAAAAATATTTGAATACTTTAATCAGAATCAATTTTAATTATATAAATTACTATATAATTTAATTCTTAAATATCAAACATTAATTTTTTGAGAATACAAAATTTAAATTTTATTAAGGAAAAAAAGGAGAGAAGGGAAGAGAGTTTAATTTTATTTTTATTAAATTATGTGCTTTATTTGTAATTTTTTTGTGGGTTTTCTTTTGTAATTTTTTCCAACATTTTTTGATTAACTTCTGGTAAAAGCTCATTCCATCAGCTTCCGAAAAAACGCGCGTAATACGTCAGAATCGATTTTTGTTCTTTTTCAGCCGTTTGGGTAATTTCATTTTAAAAATCAATTTCAGGCACAAAAATCAATTTTGAAGACTAACCAAACGGGCACTTCGTAGTCGGTGTACTGATGAGCAGCACATACTCCTCATCTAAGGAACGGTTTGGGCCCTTCAATTTATTTGAAAATGATCTCAGTTTGTTTATTTTAAATTAATTTATAAGTACTTTTAATATGGTATATATTGAAATAAAAGATGAATATTAAATCTGGACCTCGTTTATTTAGATAGTTAAATTGTAAAAATTGTAAAAATTTTAATATTGGATTATATCATTTAGATTATATTTGTGCTATTCAAAATATTCTTGGATAGTCACTGAAAAAAATTTAAAAAATAATATTAAATTAACCAGTCCAAGTTAAATATATACTGACTAGATTGATGATGAATAGATTTATTAAAAAAATTTAAATTTGATAAAAATAAAAAGAAAAAAGTTTTAAATTTGAACAGTTCAGATTTCATCCAAGGTAATGAATAATCTGGTACTCATTCCCTGATGAGCATGGAAGATGGTTTATATTTAATATTAATTTTTTTTTCAATTTTTTATTTTAATAAATACAATATTAAATATGGAGAATAGCATAAATGTCTTAAAGGATTTCAAGTGTTAAACTTTAGCAATTTACAAGTTTGGTTCTCAATTTTGTAACTTAATTACGATAAGTTTATAATTTGTGTTTCAAATTTTAATAGGGAAAACAAATTTGTGTATTTTTCAGCCACATTAAAATTTGATAAGTGAGTTGCAAATTCATTATAATGAAATTGTAAAATTGAAAAACAAACTTGCAAATTTATGGAGTTTGACATTTGAAACCTAATTTAAATTAATTAATTCTCTTAAGACTTATATGTCATTCTCCCTATTAAAAATACCTAAAACTTAATTTGAAATGAATGGCAGAGAACATTTTGAGATAAATTAAAGGGCCTTGATTAACTCTTGCCTTAATGAGCATGCTGTGGCAAAAGCCTTCTATTTTCTTTTTCTTTTTTGATACAATTACTCATTATTCATAAGTCGAGCTGAATAAGATTACATTGGCAGCAAAAATTTTCCTAACAAGTATTTAATATAGTAAATAATTTGGAAGTAGAATATATATTATTCATATATTGTTGGTGTATATATATACAACTTTGAATGACATCGTAACAATATAACAACTATATCTAAATCTATATCTATCCTCTCTCTCTAGTAACTACATATATACAGTATCTCATGTAATAACTACCACGAGATTGTGGCATTAACAATTTTATATCTAACACTCCCCCTCAAGTTGGAGCATGTAAGTCAGCTGTGTCCAACTTATTGACAAGCATTTTTAGTTTGTCTTTCCCAAGAGCTTTTATAAACATATCTGCCAACTGATCTCGTGTCCACACTTTAGATGGCACAATCTCTTTTGAGTGAGCCTTTTCCCTTACAAAGTAGCAATCCATTTCAATGTGCTTGGTTCGCTCATGAAAGACTGAATTCATGGCTATTTGAAGAGCAGCTTGGTTATCATAGTATAAGGGCGTCGGGTTCTTTTATGGAGCTTGCATTTCTCCAAGTAACAAACGTAACCATATGACCTCACTAACAGTAGTTGCCATGGCCTTATATTTAGCTTCGGCCGATGATCTTGCTACCACACTTTGCTTTTTTGTTCTCCATGATACTGGAGAACCACCTAAAGAAATGAAATATCCATTACATGATCTTCTAGTTAATGGGCAACCTGCCCAATCAACATTGCAATAAGCTTCAATTTCCATAGTGCCTTTTGCCTTAACTAGGATCCCTCGCCTAAATGTACACTTTAGATGTCGCAGGACATGTTTTGTAGCAATCATGTGCTTCTATCTAGGTGAGTTTACAAATTGGCTAAGTTGATTTGCAATGTATACAATATTTGGTTGCGTGGCTGTCGAATATTAAATCCTAGCTATCATCCGCCTGTACTTGGTCGCATCAATACATGGGCCATCATTAGTCACTTGTAGTTTGCAATTTTGCTCCGTAGGAAAACCATTCGGACAACAATTCTGCATATTTGCATCCTGTAATATATCTTGGATATACTTACGCTGGCTCAAAACAAAACCTTATGGCGAGCGTGTAACTTCAATACCTAAGAAGTATTTAACTCTTCCCAAGTCCTTGATACTGAACTGTTCATCCAAGAATCTCTTTGTTTCTTATATCTTGTGTCCATTATTACCCACCAAAAGTACATCATCTATATAAATGAGATAGGTCACATATGACGTGTGAGTTCAGTAGATAAGTAACGAATGATCCTTACTTTGAAAAAAACCAATCTCACTTAATGCCCGAGTAAATTTCTGGTACCAATTTCGAGAGGCATTTTTTAAGCCATACAAAGACTTTTTGAGTTTACATACTTTGTGCTCCCCTTCACGAGCGAACCCTTAAGGAATTCGCATGTAGACATCCTTATGAAGATCACTATGGAGAAAAGCATTGTTGACATCAAGTTGCTGAACAATCCAACAACGCTTAACAACAACTGCTAGGAGTGTGCAAACCATGACAAGCTTGGCCACAGGTGCGAAGGTTTCATGAAAATCCTTGCTTTCAATCTGCAAAAAACCATGAGCAACCAAACGTGCTCTATAAGTAGTAATAGATCCATCTGGATTAAACTTAGTTTTGTAGACACATTTGGAATCAATAACATGCTTGCGCGGTGGTATTGGCACTAAGGCCTATGTTTGGTTGGCCTTAAGTACAACAATCTCCTTTATTATAGCCTTACACCAGTAAATATGCTTGTGAGCTTGGACAAAGGTCTTAGGCTCATCATGCGAAGAGATGGCCGAGATAAAAGCTTTGTTTGACTTGGAAAATTTATCATAATGAATAAAATTAGAAATGGGGTACCTAACTGAGTTTCCTGAAGGAAGAGCAGTATAAAATAGGGAAGGTGATGGGGGTAACTCAACAAGGTAGTCATGTAGACGCTAAGGAGGTGCACACTAGCATTAATTGCATCTTGGAGCCACAGAGGTGGGGATTGGCATATCAGTCAAAGAAATGGGAGGCACGTTAGAAGTATCATGTGTCCCCTAAACAACATTGTCGCTTAATGAAGGCACAACATCATCATCATCTGCCATATATGTATCAATGAAAGGTCGTGAAGGTAAGGGAGACTATGGCTCTTTAGCCATTTGATCAGCATAAGGAAATGACTCCTCAATAAAAATGACATCCCGAGAAATCAAGCACTCTTTTCAACTAAGATCATATAGCTTATAGCCTTTCTTGTTAAGAGGATAGCCAAGGAACACACAAGCATTGCCCTTAGCTCCAAACTTGTCATGCTGCTAGGTGGTTCGTGCATAAGTGAGATAGCCGAAGACTTGCAAGTGGTCATAGGAAGGTCGTTGACCATATAATATCTCATATGGTGTCTGATTATTGATAACTCCAGAGGGCAATCGATTGATAAGGTATGCTGGCGTTAGAACACACTTACCCTAAAGCTCAAGAGGCAATCATGCATGAAAATGAAGAGCTCTAGCAATGTCTAAAATATGACGATACTTTCACTCGATGACCCCATTTTGTTGAAGAATGTAAACACAAGTTGTTTGCAACAAGATTTCTTGTGCCTCATAGAATTTCATAGACCCTGATTGAAATTTTGATCTATTGTCAACACAAACCTTTTTAATGCATTTTCCAAATTGAGTTGCAATCATATTGATGAACATTGGCAAATAATGACCCACATTAGACTTTTGTTTCATGAGATATACCCAAATTCTCCTACTAAAATCATCAACAATGGTGAGAAAATAATGTTCTCCTATCAATGAAGTCACTTTATATGGACCCCATATATCACAGTGAATTAAATCAAAACACGAATTAGTTTTTATTAAACTAGAAGCAAAGGGAAAGCGAGTTTGCTTTACACGGAATACATGAATCATAAAAAGTAGTCCTATTGATTGAAACAGAATCAAAAAATAGAGAAATATGTTTCATCTTCTCAATCGAGGCATGGCCCAAACGTTGATGCCACGTGTCATAGTCCTGCTCATGCTGTACTCCCATCGCTGCACCCCCATACTACATTGGCTTGAGAAGATATAACCTATCAATGCACTTACCTACTCCAATTAGGTTCCTTGTATTCAAGTCTTGAATCACACAAAAGTCAACCACGAAGAGAACAACACAGTTAAAGTCTTTGGTGAACTTACTCACTGATAATAAATGGCATTTAAATTGTGGAATATATAAAACATCATCAACTTTTAGTTTAGGTGATAATATTACGCTCCCAATACCTCGCACTGGTATCTTGCTTCTATCGGGTACACAAACTGGTGGAGATGATGTGTCCTGAAGATTGACCAACCTGTTCTTATCATGAGTTATGTGCACCGAAGCACCTGTATCAATGATCCACGATGCATCAATCTATGAATTACCTATCATATTTGCCATGGGCTGAGCTTGCTTTGCCATATCGCCATCCAAACTTAGGTACTGCATCAATTTTGCATATTGTTCTATACTTAAAACTTGGGATTGGACTTGAGTCATTACTTACTTGGGCCACTCTAGGCCCCCCGTGTCGATCTTTACGATCTCAACCTCCTTTCCTCTAATCTGGTGGATAACCTATTAGTTCATAGCACTTTTCTTCAGTATGTCGCATCTTGTTGTAGTGACCACACTTGGGTTTATCTTTCCTAATATCTTTACGATCACCATGCACCTAAAAAGCAACAGCGTTGGTCATAGGCTTTGTAGATGTCGAGATTACCCTCTGTTGTTCATCTTCTGCTACTAGGTGATATGCCATACCTAACCTTGGCATTGGCTTCACGCTTAAGATATGAGTTTTGATGGTTGCAAAGCTTTCGTCCAATCCCATAAGAAGGTCATAAATTTGTTCACATTCTTTGGCTTCTGCAAGCTATTTTTGGATATTACTTGTACAGCCTCCACACGTACACTTGGGCCCAGGCATGATGGATTGTAGTTCATCCCAATAACCTTTTAGTTGTTGAAAAAGGATGGAACAGATTGATTTTCCTACCTCACGTGTGTTATGGCTCTTCTGAGTTCGAAGGCTAGTGGTGCACTACCCTTACCAAATCTCTCTTCAAGATCAACCTATATTTCACGAGTAGATTTTGCATATCGAACACTACTGCTCACATCTTTGTCCATTGCTCTCTTTAGTCATCCTTTGACCATGGCATTGCAATGCATTCAGTGACTCAAAGTCTATGAATTTGCAGTCGGTATAAGGATGGATCTATCAATGAATCCAATTTTGTTTTTCGCAAATAATGCATTGCTCATGTCATTAACCTACTCCCCATAGTTGTTTTCATGGAGGAGCTCTCTAACGTAGACTTGTCCAGGATTGTTAGAGGCATGGACATAATACAGTGACATGATATCCACAACATTGTTTGCTGTGCTATTCTCTCCATCGTTAGTCATGGCTCTGTGTTAGTGTTTGCTCTGATGCCATAAATAATTTAGAAGTAGAATATATATTTTTCATGTACTGTTGATGTATATATACACAACTCTGGATGATATCGTAACAAACAGCTATATCTAAATCCATATACAGTATCTCATATAATAACTGCCACGAGGTTATGGCGTTAATGATTTTATATCTAACATATAGTTGCATGCCTAAAATTTAAAATTATGTGCTTGTTATTAACGTTTAATATTTCTTTTCACAATAGATTCCAACCCTAAACCCAGTGAAAGAAAGGGGTGAACGCCTTCTATTTTCTAAAGTTGATTGGCTGGCAAGCTAGGATTTTGAAGGAGGAGCATGCACACATTGAAGGCCGAGGGGCCTACTTGTCCTTTTGTTCCCTTCCACCGTCGTAGTCATCATTGGCATTCGAAAGACATGGTTTTTTGAGCAAATCATTTTTCTTTTGCATGTAGCCGTTTTCTTTTGAGAAGAAAAAGTACCGTTATTAACCAGTATTATTATTTATTTATTTAGAAAAATTAATTATTTATCCCTAATAATTTTAACCCAATTATAATTTAATCCCTAATTTTAACTCATTATAATTTAATTTCTAAAGTTTCAATCTATTAAATATTGACCTCCTGTATTTTACAAAATAAAATTATAAAGATTAAAAAGATTTAATAATTTTAAATATTAATAATACATTTTAAATATTTTTAATTTTTATAATTTTATTTTTAAAATAAGGGATCAACATTTAAGAGGTTGAAACTTTAGAGACTAAATTATAAAAGGCAAAGTTTGGGGACTGATTTACAATCGAGTCAAAACTTCAAGAACTGAGTTATGACGAGTTAAAATTTAAAGACTGAGTTACAATTAAGTTAAAATTATAAAATTAAATAATTAATTTTTTCTAATTATTTCCATGTTTGACTTCGTTCATTTAAGAGTAGATTGTGGGCCTCATGAAATAATAGTTAGTACTCCTCCGTTTAAAAATATAAGATATTTTTAATTAAATTTTATCCTAATAAAATATTTACTTACCTTTAAACTAACTCCATCTTTTTATATTTACCCTTATTTGGTAAGATGTTTTACCTTTAAAAAATTATAAAGGCATCTATTTAGTTTGGGCGCTTTTGAAAAAAAGTAATGATTACACCTTAAAAGATTAAAAATACCTTATATTTTTTAACATTTAAACTTTTAAAAAATATCTTATATTTTTAAACAGATGAAATATGTTATAACAAGATTAACTATTATTTCCATGAAATAAAATAAATTTTATTATTTATTATAAAATAATAAATAAATTAACTATTATTTATTATAAAATAAATTTTAATGTACTCTTTTACATTAATGAGTCACATTGTTTATAGTTTATGAATAATGCAGTTTACCATAAATTTTATTCGTTATATTAATTGATACTATTGCATAAAATCTCAAATGGTTTGAATCTCAATTTCTATAAAATAATAAGATCCTTAGTCTTAATCAAAAGTAAAATTAGGTCTAAAATGTTTTAACACTTACAAAAAATTATGTCTGATTTGACCACTTATCAGTGGTTTAGGTAGGATTTTTTGTTGCTGGATATCTTAGAGCATGAATTTTTAATAGATCTCCCTTCTTCAAAAGATTGGAGTCATTTTTCATAATAGAAAATGAAAGAATCACTGACAAACGCTCCTTAATTCTTACTTTTTTTTCCCCCGTTTGGGGTCAAAGTATCCATTAGCCCACAGTTCTGACTTAATACTTTGAATGAATGGTAACATGTTGCCTAAATTTGGGTAAACCAACAATATGAAAAAAAATACTGGTTAGTGCCATTTCCACTGAGGGGTACGTGACGGGTGTCACTCTAACTTGTTGCCCGACTTATGTGCATATCAGGTTAGCCCGGTACTTGATAGTTCGGGAAGTTTGGCTCAACTCAAAAAATATTTTTAAATAAAACACTTTTCTTTATCACTAAAAAAATACACTTGTTCTTGTGAGATTTAGTATATTAGTGCTGATATCATCACACTCTTAAAATGAAAAATTGAGCTTTTGAAGGAGGATATTTGTGCATGATAAAAAATATATAATTATCTTCATTTAACTTTTAAGATGAAATTTTGTGAAACTAATATTACGATGGAAAGTAATAATTTTTAAAATTATATGTAATTAAAAATTATTCATTGTTTTTATGTATTACTAACTTAAAAATTACTTTTAAATTTTGAAAATCATTTAAAAACTAAAATCATAAATAATCTTAGACTAAACTATGTAGGAAGCCTAACAATATTGATCTGATCCATACTTGGAATAGAATAATATTATTATCTCCTATGCCTAGAGTAGCATTTATACAAATAAATTTTTAAAAATCAACATTGTGAAATAAAAGTGATTAAGTACAAATCTGAGGGCTCTAGCCATACCAAAAAAAAAATCTCAATATTTTTATAAACCACTTTTAGTTATTCAAATAAAAAATTAGTTATATTATTAAAATTGTTTATCATCATCTTTCGTAAATGTTATAAATTAAAAAAATGCACTCCTTTTATTCCCTAACTAGAAATCGATAATAAAAATGTTTTTGGAATAAAACTCTTCTTAAGTAATTTACACACACACACACACACACACACACAAGCAAACACGAATACCTGGTTTTATCCCATTTTCAATTTCAATTTTTGAAGGTTTTCTTCAAATGTGTTTGGCGTCATGGATTGGTAGCGAGACCATCGTAGCGGGAATTCGGACTTTCACAGCTTCTGTTTCTTCCGTTTGAAGCAGTTCTTCAGATTTCAACTCCTCGTCTTCTTTTTGAAGTGATTCTTCTCATTTCAACTCTACTTCTTGTTCTCGCTTTTTCCTTCGCCGGTTTTGGGCTGACCCGAATCTGAATCATGCCATCTTCTACAGATCTCTTCACCGATTCCCATTACAAACGATATGGCTTCCATTCGAAGACAGACTATGATGATGATTCACCTCGCACGGTTCCGAATCGGTGCGAACCCATTATCGCTCGCTCCAGCTCCTTCCACTCTCCGTCCACCTCGCCAACTTCGAGGAGTCATCAATCATCTCCGACTCATTCCCCCAGACTTGGCCCCAGTCGGCTCTCGAGCTTCCATAGATCCCATTCTTCACTCTCTTCTTCGCCTTTCGGATGGAACGCATGGGGCTTCTTGAGAAACTGGAAGTTGCAACTGAATCCGCCTCAGCAGCACAAGGGAAAGTTGAAGGCGGGAAAGTCATGGTATCGCACGAAACGAGTGAAAGGGCTTCTGTTGCTTCTTGGGCTGCTGGGTTCATTCTTCTTGGTTAATTGGATTATGCTTACGCGGTTGCAAGATGAAGCGGCCCATTCAATCACTGAGTCATCGAGAAATTCATCTGCTGATTCAGTTCCGGTTTCGGTTCAGGTGTGTGCATGATTAGTATTGTAGACTTTCAATTCTAAAAAATGTTTTTTCCCGTCCCTTACTAATAGTTACATCTTTTAGTTTATACTTTTTAGTTTTTACGATAGGTTGTGTTGAGACGAGTGAAGTAAATGGTAGAGGTTATTGATGTGACCGGACGAAATTTGAAACTTTTCTACCATGTGCCTTGAAGTGAAGCATATATATAAGTCTATACATGTGAATTCTGAAAAGAGAAAAAACGATGGACTTGTCTTAGCGGTGCATGAACATCTTTCGAAAGGTGGTTTCGGTATGGGGTACTATGCATATCCTTTGCTAGATACCCAATAACTGGTTCCCAATCTTTAAGTTTTTTGGCTAATACCATATATTTAGCGTGCGGATGTCAGAATTTTGCAATTTTTTTTTTTTTTTGAGTTTAACATAGTGTTCGTTGTGGACATATATTTTAATCCAGATACAAATAAATGAAAAATGATCGCATGATTTCCTATTGTGATGGATAACTGTCAGGAATGATGCACGGTGAAATGTATTAGATCGCATACAGTTGAGAAACTATGAGGTCTGAGGAAACCACTATTAACTTGTCCCCTTAAAACAATAGTGCTCGTTATACATGATATGTGTTAAATATTTTAGCAGATGTTGAAATTAACATGTCTGAAGTTTCTTGGCCTGTGAAAGTGTCTGTTGACATTTTTCTCATTTTTTTATTTTCTTACAGGGAAAATGGAAAAAAACTAGAAAAGGGAAAAAGCCCCAGAAGGGAAATTTTGAAAGATTGTTGGCTTTGGCTGCCCATGCTTTGGCAGAGGTATCAGTACCTGTAGCTTGTTAGTAATTACAGCCCATGAAGTATTGTAATCATTAATCTAAATGGCAGAGCAAATCTTATCTTTATTTGCAAGTTTTCAGTTGTTCTGATTTGTTTCATGTGGGAACAGAATAAACGTGAGCCTAAAGATTTGTGGCAGGAGCCCTTTGCTCCTGCTTCTGCGTGGAGACCTTGTGCTGATCAGCGTAATTGGGAACCTAGTGGTATGTTGATGTTGAATTTGATTTTATTTTTAATAAACGTGTGTGTGAGTAAATGAAGTTTGTTGGTCTATAAGGTGACACTCAAAGTCTGCTGTCTGCTATTGTACTCTGATAGAGGGAAATAATGGATACATTTTGGTTACTGCAAATGGTGGAATAAATCAACAACGAGTAGCTGTAAGTGATCTTTATTAGACTGTTCCACCTCTATGTATACTTTACTTCTGAATTATGAGTTTGGTCCAAAGAAGACAAACTCTGTTGTTGAATTATTAACATTTCAAATATGTTGGTTTTGATTTACTATAGGTTTGCAATGCGGTGGTTGTGGCGCGATTACTTAATTCGACTTTGGCTGTTCCCAAATTTATGTTTAGTAGTGTATGGAGAGATGTAAGGTGATGATGCTCTTTCTATCCTCTTAACTTTTTCCTTCTTATCTTACTTTATTGAATAACCAATATTTAGTCCTTGGGCCAAGTGTCCAAATGGGATTCTGTTGATTCAAGGAATGTTATATTACCTGTGTGAAATCTCTTCTAGTTGTGGCTGAATGTAATTCGCTATTACACTTGTGCTTCAAATGCATATCTAGGATTTTTTGTGCTGATTAATTCAGGGTAGGGTTTGGCTAAGGACATACGATTAAATATTTACTACATCACAGGATGTTAAGATTTTCTTTTTGGGTTTCCCATACATAAGTAATGTGGATCATTGATAATTGTAATTACTCTGATGTTTAACCAGAATTGCCAATTTTAACATCGCTGTTTATTTTAATGATATGTCTTTAGTTCTTCAATTCTTCTTCTTCTTGCTGTTGTTGTCAATACTTTTTCTTATAATTGCTTTACATGGAAATTGACAATACCAAATTGTATAATTTCAGTCAGTTCAGTGATATCTATCAGGAGGAGCATTTTATACAATACTTAACTCCTGATATAAGGATAGTGAAGGAACTTCCCAAGGAATTGCAGTCTTTAGACTTGGAGGCAATTGGTAGTGTTGTAAGTTATTTCCCTCCCAGAAAATTTACTTTCACAGTCAGTTCCTTTTGTATTAAATTATTGGGATTGTTTTCTTTCAGGTGTCAGATGTTGACATGGGAAAAGAGGCTAAGCCAAGTTTTTACTTGAAGAACATTCTGCCTATTCTACTTAAAAATCAAGTTGTCCATTTGGTTGGATTTGGGAATCGCTTAGCATTTGACCCAATACCATTTGAGATGCAGGTAAATCCCCCATAATGTTTTGTGAATACAATTGGATTTGTCTTTTTTGATCTGAAGCCCTACTATGCTGTTTCTGATTGGATGACTTCATCTAGAGACTTCGTTGCAGATGCAATTTTCATGCCCTGCGTTTTGTCCCCAGAATACAAGAAACTGGTGCTTTGCTTCTTAAAAGGTTGCGCCAGCATACTGGTCATATTGGACTGTTGGATTCATATCTCATTGGTCCATTTGCAGAATCACTTTTGGAGGAAAGAGGAAATCATTCCAAAAAAGCATCTAAATATCTATCTTTGCATCTCAGATTTGAAATTGACATGGTAGCTCATTCTTTGTGTGAATTTGGGGGAGGTGAAGCCGAAAGGAAAGAATTGGCAGCTTATCGTGAAATCCATTTCCCTGCACTGGCACATCTAGTGAAGACCACAAAGTATGCATTATGCTAATTGCACCAGATATATACCCCCACTTATTGTATCATTTTAGTAGTTCTCTTTTAATATGACTCCTTTTGGGTCAGTTTGAGTAGATCTGGTAGTTTTCTAAAGCAGCCTTTTCAATTAATCTAAATTTTGTTATTCTGAGATCTATATATTGCTATATGCTTTTGCTTCTCCCAGTTCTTGTATCTCTCTTTAAATTATTATTATCTCTTATCTATCTTGGGGTGGGGGTGGGAGCAATTTTCTGCAAGACCCCCAAAACAATGTTGGATTCATATGGCTGCCCGTGTTGTTATTTCTATTGTAGAAGTGTCCATTTCATTTTGGAAAAAGATTCTGGTTGTTTAATCATGTAAAATGTTTTCTTTTGATCTCCTTCATATTCCAAAAAATTTGACGGACATACTCAGTCATATGCTATTTTGCCCCTCCTCTGGAGGATGTAGGTTGTAGATAGGATTCATTTAATCCCTCAACCAAGAGCCAGCTTAGCTTCTGTTCCATACAGCAGTTTTTCATTTTCTTTATTACAATGACAAAAAGAACCTCCTTATTCTTTCAACTACATTGCCTTCCAATAACACTAATTCTTTTAATTGCAGATTGCCCACTCCTTCAGAGCTAAGGTCTGAAGGTCTGTGCCCCTTGGCACCTGAAGAGGCAGTCCTTATGCTTGCGGCTCTTGGTTTTAACCGGAAGACTCATATATTTGTAGCTGGTTCTAATTTGTATGGAGGTCAATCACGGTTGACTGCATTGACCAGCTTGTACCCTAATTTAGTGACTAAAGAGAACTTGCTCTCTTCATCTGAACTTGAACCATTTGCAAATTATTCATCTCAGGTTTGCTGCAGTTGCAATTGTTGTTTTGCTTATGTTAGGTATTTTACGAGTCCTCATCTTAATGAATCTGTTTCCTAAGCTGTTTCCATCATGTTATGTTCAAAACCAATATGGTTGAATGCTAGATGAGATTGTCTGGTTGTAAATCTTTGTTGGATGTGATTTTGGAGTAGGTGATATTGAAGAGGTGTATGGTCAAAGGGGGTTTTGTGATGGATTGGCTTCTAAAGTTGTTGAGTCCTGGTTTCTGTTTCCATAGAGTAGGATTGCTATCCTTTATTTTACAACATCAGAAAACTCATTTGACCAGAAAGGCATTTAATGGGAGAAATAACTGTGCATACAACGCATGTGTACAAATTCCGTTTATAGAAACTTTGTTCTTGAATATAATTTCTGCTCTTGGGCTGCTTATTGATGCTTTCTCTTGAGATGCTAAACTTCCACAAGAATGTCATTCTTGTTTATCTGAGAGTTTTCTGGATGGCATTTCATGTCCTGGTAATGTCGCATTAGCAGCAAGGTAGTGTAGCCTTGTAAATCACTTATTGCATCACTAGCGGGGACCTTTGGTATTTGACTATAGAGGGGGAAGTGAATGCTCACTAATTCACCACTCTGACTTTTGTTAATTGGCACATTGCCTGTTGAGGCCCCTTTGGGATTTGATTGGTCTCCCATCCAACAATCACTACTTGACAATTCTAGTTTTTACTGGATTTTGAATTTACAAAATTGGAAATAAATGAATAAATAATGTGATTTTGAATCTCTGGGGGCCTTGGAAGCTGTCCTATTTCCATTTTACATTTTTTATTTTCTGAAAGCTGCAGTCTATTCTGCTTGGTTCATTTAATGTGATTCATTTGATGAATGACAGAAAGCTCATTTCTTTTGTAGTTGGCAGCACTGGACTTCATAGGCTGTACTGCTGCTGATGCATTTGCCATGACCGATTCAGGAAGTCAGCTATCATCTTTGGTGTCTGGGTACCGAATATATTATGGTGGCGGCAAAATGCCAACAATACGACCAAATAAGCGCCGGCTCGCCAGTATCTTCACCAAGAACTCAACAATAGAATGGCGAGTGTTTGAACAAAGAGTTAGGAAAGCTGTTAGACAAACCAAACATGTGCAGACAAGGCCCAAAGGGAAGAAGTATTTACAGGTACCCTCGCTGTAAAGAATGTATGTGCAGGACAGATTGATCTATTCTTTTGCACTTTATTTGGCTTACAAATACCCATTGCTTTTGGTAACATTGTATTATTTATTACCACCCACAATGCCAATGACATTGTGGATTTGTAAATGTGGTGCATGAAATGCCCCCATTTTGACTGTGCATAAAGTTTTCAACTTTCAAATATTGATTATGATGAGAATACTTATAACATGACTTCGAAGTCGAAAATCTGTTGACAGATTTATAGGTACAATAAATGCATAAAGTGTTAATTGTGGCCCCATCTGTTAGACGTGCGTTTGGGGATTTTCTTTCTTGTTGCTCTTGTAATATTGGTAACTAAATGTTGGATCAAATTAATAAAATAATAACTAAAAAATTATCCTTGTGTCGATGCATAAGGATATTCAAATTAAAAACTTTTTTCCTGAAATAGCAAACCCATTACAGATGAATAGAAAATAGATAATTATAAAGGTAGATTTCTGTGAGGTACGAAAAAACATATTCCGTTTTGCAAGGGAACAAAATTTTGTACAAACCATGCACTCCAAAATTTTGGTTGTTGAAGTACTTTTTTTCAAGAGGATGAAATGCCCCTCGGAGTAGGAAGGAAACTCTTGGAAGAAAAAAATTTAGAGTACAATTAGCTTCCGCGATGAATTTGGGGGGAACAAAATTTTGGCTGTTGAAATATAAAGAATTAGATTTTATACCTGTGCACAATAATATATTGAAAGGTAACATAGAGAAAGAGATTGTAATTAGTTTAATTTTTCAAATTATTATTTTGTTTACATTAAAATTCTAAAAAAAATCAATGAATTGCATACCTATTTTTTACAATTAACGTAAATTAAAATTTTAATTTTATCATAGGTTTCACATAGGCTATTTTAATTATAGGTTTTATATTTTTCACTCATATATGTTGTTTTATTATATAAAAATTAAAAATAAAATTGACTACCGTACTCACTAAATGATAAAAAAATTGTTAGAAAAGTATCTTTTTGAAGAATATGCCCTTACGAATCATTACTTTATAAAATTCATTGTAATCTTGACTTGAATCTTGAGAAGGTAATTCATATTCAAGAATTTTCATTATGTTTCGAAGGAAATTTGTCATCCTAATTTACACCTAGATATTGGAATAGGGAGCCAATTAAGTTTAGAAAAAAGCGTTATTCATGCTTTGATGACATCATATACAACTTTTTTTTTTCATCTCTATTTTTTTATACTTCAAAGAATCATTCCCGTGAAAAAAACATTGACAATAGGATGATGCTAAATATTTTTTTTAAACTGAAAAAAAGGACCAGACACACCAAAATGGCTGAAAAAAAAAAATTAAAACAACACCATAATATAAGGATTATGCGGCACAAGCTACTGTATTTATCCTTGTGGGCCCACATAGATGTTGAGGAAAAGGTTTAGTCACTTGCGCTGCAATTCGACGGTAATTACAACGGGTAGACATTTTTCTTACCCTTTTAACTTCGTTGAATTTAAGAATTTGATGTTGGTAATAAGATAAGAATTTTCAAAATAGTAATATTTTTTTAAATGGTCCAATTCAAGTCGATCGTTTTCTTAAATAATGTTTAGATACTAACTAATTAAATACAAGTCACATGCATATATTGCATAATATTTGAAAAAAAAAATACGAGACATATTGCACTCTATAAATAGTGAAATTCATTATTAGTATAGTACTAAAATATTGATAATCAATATTAATGTTCCTTGACATGTAAAGCCACAGTCCCTTCTCAGAACTTTTCTTGATTCTTAACTCTAGGAACTATAACACGGACGACCATCAAACGTCTCAAAGCTTGATCGAGTCTTTTTTGCATATAGAATTGTCACGTTGAATTGTCTTCGCGAAATGCTTGTACTGCAACTTTAGTGTCCGAGAAAGAAACAATGTACTTTCATGCTACTGAAGTATTTTGGAATGAAATATATATTATTATCCAATTAATCATTGAGAAAAAGTTTATGTTATCACTAATAGAAGATCTCTCGTTTGGTGACATGAACTCAAAACATTGTGAAAGTTCTTCTTCTTCATAATACTGAAACTGGAAACACAGACAAGGTCATTCTCACAATGTGATTCAGACTTCCTGTCAAAACAACTTCACCGAAGCTGAAAGCACCCATTGGTTGAGTCACACAGAATTGTATTTCCAGATCTTGTGTTTGCTGTGGACTTATGGTAAACCAAGATGGATTCAACTTTACTGTAGTTCCATTAGGTGGTAACACCGATCCCAAGTATGTTTCTGTCTTGTTGGCCACATTCATGACAGTTCTTCGCACAGAAACTGAGCCAGTCATTGATGATATTGTCACTGAAGGAAGGTTCAGATTGTACGGATAGTCAAGTGAGAAATTGCAAGATTCCCCTGTGGCTGCTGTTATATTTGCAGGATCAATGTTTGGCAAAGAACACAGGAAACTGATGTAGTCTTCATGTCCTATATATGTATGTATCGAACCAATATGAATCTATTCAGCAGTTAACACAGACGTATACAATAACTTAATGTAAATGAAAGGGTGACGCAAAAGAATATTGAGTTCTGTTTGTCTACTGCGCGCATGCACTATGCTGGGTGCAATAGACAGACACATGGGATGGGCGAGTGGACTCCATCTGTCAAGTGGGGTAGGCCCCACTATCCTATGTGTTGGTCTGCTACGCATTGTGGACGTTAAGAACAAAATGGAAGAAAAACTATATGCATGAAGTCACACTCATTGTTACGTATATCATGATTTTTTCCATTCGTCACTGTTCAAGCGCGAGTTATAATAATTGGAAGAAGTCTCACATTATATAAATTTAATCAGGGAAAGATTACACAAGACTGGACTGTATATTTTTAAATTAATATATGGTGTCAAATCCACTTCTTCTCAAAATCTAACAGATCTCCTTAGCATGTAACCCTACCCGAAAATAATGAGCACCATCCAAAATAGATTGAAGGGTCCAGATGGTGTTCATCAATGCAACGATCACTCCAAAACCCTAAACCAAGTCCACAATTTTTTTTTTTGGATGATGAAACTTTTAATCCTTTAAATTTATCTTAATTATTGATTTGGTTTCTTAAGTTTAATTTTTACCAATTTAATTTTTTAAATTTATCTTAATTATCGATTTGGTTTTTATTATTTAAAAAAAATAACATTTACAAAATATTGATGGGAGTCTTGTACATTAATAAAAAGAAGTATTCAAGTAAAAAAAAACAGACTCAAATTAAAAATTAAATTGATTTAAAAGTCAATTTGGGTTTTAAAATTTATGGGACTAATACAATAATTTAAGAAAAACATAAAGACTAAATTAATAAAAATTAAACCTTAAATGATCAAATCAACAACTAAACAAATTTAAGAAATTAAAAGTTTCATTATTCTACCAATTCCTGCATGTAACATATGCATCCCACTTTTACGAGCGGAAAAGATCCTGACAGAAAACATACCTACTGGGAAGACCAATCCAGGATCAATAGCAGAGTTGGGGTTGATCATGCCAGCTCCATGATCAAAAGGAGTGGAAGGGTACAAGCTATTGATATCATTTCCTTGAGCCATGATCATCTCTCCAAAGTTATCATACCTAGTGGCCGTTGTGCATATTGCAGAAGCTATCATGGAAGGAGTCCAAGAAGGATTATGCTGCTTCACAAGAGCAGCAATGCCTGCAACATGAGGCGTGGCCATGCTTGTTCCAGACACCAACCCGAAGTTCTGACCTGCGAGCAGAGGTTGTAGGGCACTGATAGGGCTCCAAGCAGCCCAGATTTGGTGGCCAGGAGCAAGGATGTCTGGTTTCAGAACATCTGCAACATGTTTGGTGTTAGCGTCGAGGATGTCTGGTCCTCTTGATGAGAATCTGCTCACTACGGGTGCTCTCCCTTTGAATGAAGCAACTCTTCCTTCTCCAATGGCGGCTCTGCCACCATATAATGTGTCACTTCCGTTGTCACACCTTCTCGTTTGGTTTTCGTAATATTGTAATATAGCCTGTGACACAGAAATTAAAGCAGTTTATTAAAGGTTTCTTTTCAAGAATTCTAGTAATCTCTATATTTCTTATAATATCTCAACTTCTCAATTTTTTTTCTTTTGATTATTAATTATATTATATGTAAAATAAGAGGCATTTTAATATTTTAAGGTCATGGAACAATACAGTTTTGTACTTTTTTAATGATTTTTTAAAGATAAATATTCTAAAATTGTGTAGTTTTGGTACTAACAGATAATTTCACTAAAAAAAATACTAGCACATAAAAAGAAAAAAACAGTTAGCTTCTTTTATTTTTAATATCAGTTAAATTACACCACATTCTGATGTTTTAAGTGAAACAACATGTATACTAGTTAACAAGTTATCTATATAAGGATTCATTATCAATTTTAAAAGATGAAAGAACTATGAGCACATCACATAAAATTTTGAGGTCATTGAAAACGATTTTTTCAAAAACAGGCCAAACACTATCAATATTAAATCTCAACAGATTTTATTAATACTGGTTGTTTCAAGCTTTTGCAAAAGTTTATTTTTTTAAAAATAATTCCAAACAAAAATGAATTTTAAAATTAATTAGAGACGCCAAGAGGGGTGGTTTGAATATATACCTGGGAATCAGCAACAGAAGGGATCATGATGCCAGGAACAGCAAAAGGAACAGGCTCTGCAATATAATCACCAAAGCTAGGGTTTGCAGCAAGAACAAAACCCTGAAGGCTTAGGGCTTTTGCTGTGTCAACAATGGCAGTGAGAGTAGAGGTTCCATTGTAGAAGCCAGACGAGAAGGAGCAGATTATGACACTGCCTCGCAATGTCTCAGCGTCCAAAGCCTCAGGGTGTTGACACTCTTCTGTGTATTCAGGAGTCCTTGGAAATGTTCCATTCACTTTCAATGCGTCCTTCGCTAACACTAACTTACGCAGCACTGACCCGTTTCTAAAGCCTGGTCCTGCACATATTTAAACATCTTGTACATATATATATATATAGTGCCAGAACTTAACTCTAACAAGATACATTGAGACAGATATATAATTAACTAGTGATAGATCTCTAGGTTTTTCGGTCCTCCCCTCTCCAGGTGAACACAATCTAGGCTTAAATACTCTCCCAAGGAAACTTGGAGTACGCTATTAAGTGGGGAGAGAGGAAGAGAGGTTTAATGGGTTTCACATGTTAAATAGTTTGCTGTACCTTAAGAGAATCCTTACTAAAGAAGGTCTTGAGACCCTTAAAAACAAGCTAAATGCATACAAAGATAGGCATCTAATAGGTATGACCTATTATAATATCTATCTTTCTCTCTAATTGCATAAAATGTATGGTTTAAAATAGGGGTGTACATGGATTGTGTCAAGGTTAGGTATCACCTCTGTCCAGTGCTTGACCCGATGTGCAATTTGGGCCAGCCTCCCTCAAACAACTCGAATAGATCGAGCTTGATAGGGCTTACTAAACTTTCCGGCATTTGCATAGCCCTAATTGAAGAGAGCCATGTTATACATGAATCCACCACCATGTCTATCTCTTTTCAATTGCATGAAACTCAATGGGGGACTTGCTCTCATTTCTAGCTAGAGACATATGGTGATTAATTAGTTAGGCACCTGAGAGGCCAACGCCACCGAATGATTGGCCATCTGCAAGAAGGAGAGAAGCAGAATAGAAGCGATCAGTGGAGGAAGAAGCAACAGAGAGAGTCCAAGGGCTGAAGGAGAGGACAGAGGAAGGAGCAGGTCCGTTGTTGCCAGAGGCTTGAACCACAAGCACTCCTGCTTTTCTTGCAAACAGCAGACTGATCTCCAACACGCTCAGCATCGTCACTGTGTCTTGAGGTGCTTCCTCTGGTCCTACTGATAGGCTTATCATGTCCACCCCATCAGCCACAGCCTGCAGCCAAATTCATAAAATCATTTCACTTGCTTGTGTATGTGAAAATGATGATGCATGAACAAACAAAATTTGGCTCACTTGATCGATTGCTGCAACAACGTCTGCAATAGTTCCCACGGTTGGATAAATAGCCTTGTACACTGCAATTCTGCAAAATCATTCCACACAACCAAATATTCAATTACATAGTTTTAATTTCTTCAGAATTATTCAAAGTTTTTCTATATATCTTTCTTTCATAGCCTATGGAGTACAGTCTTTTCCCAAACAAATCATAGTTTTCTTCAGAACTTCACCAAATTTACAGGCAGTTTCTTTCTGTTCTCTCAACAAGTTTGTGTATGTATATTTCAAAAATAGAATAACTTTTTTGCAATTTTTTTCAAACTCAAATTAACGTAAGTCCATGTAATTTAATTACTTTTCTATGAAGAGTTTACATTTTGAAAAATAAAAAAGATCAGGTCGATTAATGTAATTCTCATGGAATTTAAAAAAAAAATTTGTGTTGGTATAGAAAAATTTTAAAAATTAATATAATAGTAATCAAAATCTATTTAATATCATCTGATACGACTCCCTCTTTTCAAGTGTAAGACATTTCTTTTGGATGTAAGGCATTTTATAGAATACCAATCATTAGTCATTTGTATATAATTCTGAAACTAAGCAAGTAATTTTGATAAATTTCTATGAGAATTTTAAATAAAAAAAATATGAATTATCCTTAAAATTCTGTAAAATATCTTGTACTTAAAACGAAGCTAGCAACCCACACACCCCCCCCCCCCAAGTTACCTGGAAAGTCAAATTATAGGGCTTGAATTGTAAAAATATATTAAATCGGAGTGCGGGATTTGGTTATTTAATTTGTATTTGTATGTAATCATTGGAGCGACTGAGCTATATGACTCTGAATAATGTAAAATTAAATTTAAATGGAATATTAAAATGAATTCTATAACTGCACTATTATAATTAATTAGCAGCAGATCAAACTCACCTGGCTCGTGGTGCCATTCCGCAAGCACGGCCATAGCAAAACCCATTGACCACCACATCAACCCCACAATTCCCGGCAGCGGTCGACGCCACATGACTGATTAACCCATTTCATCATTCAACTCTCAAATTATTATATATCAGTTTTACTTCTCTACTAGAAAATCACTCTTATATCTCACACAGGTAATCTAAATTAAATCATAAAAGTTTCATGTCCTTTTAGTGACATTTTCAATTGCTACGGAATAACCGTTAATTATCACTGCAACTGAATAATTTAATTAACAATTTCAACAAAGAATACATGAAACTTCAGTAATTTTATGATTTCATGAGTTTTCTAATATTTAGACTAGAGAATTTTTCATATATATATTGACCTATGATTTTCGAACCTGCCATGGCCATCAGCATCAAAAGGTGAGAGAAAATCAAGAGAAGGATTGAGAGGAGCGATGGCTTGAGCTCCCTTAGAGAAGAACCTGGCGCCAACTATCTTCCCGTTACAATCACTCTCAGAGAATCTTGGACCGGTCTCGCATCCTCCTGAGAACTTAGATATGTTTGATTGGAAAGGCCGTGAAGCATCGTAAGCGAAGCTTCCATGGCTAGGGTTTATCCCACTGTCCACAAAACCTATCACCACTCCTTCTCCTCCTTCTCCGTCCTCCCACACTCTCATTCCCTCTACCCCCACAAACGCAGGCGTGTATGTCGTTTTCATCTTCGCTCCTCCGTCTCTCTCCACCACTCTCACTCCTTCTATGCCTCTCAGTCTCCCAGCCTGATAATCAACCCATAGTCGTTATAAGTTCAAAGGGCTTCATATTGTGTCAATGAAGGACAGAATGAGAGAGACGATACCTGGGATGGTGTGGTGTGAACGGAGAAGCCATTGAGGATGTGCTTGAAGCTGTGAAGCTTAGTGTAGCTTCCCTTCTCTAAGGTTGTTTGCAGAAGCATTTCATGAGATTCCACCAACTTGTTTGCATGTACCATCCCACTTTCGCTATCCAGCCATGCACGCAGTACACATAGATCAGAAGAATATATGTATGTATGTATTGACCAATTAATATCTTTGAAAAATACAGTATTATATGTTGGCATGAAACTAAAATATTAACCTTTTGGGGTGCGACGAAACTCGAGAGAAAGCGACAGCGTCTCCTTCCAATAAGACCAAGTATATGGATCGTTCTTCTGCAAAACAAGCTCTGAAGAACAGGAACACCAAGAAGGTCGCCAATATTACCTGAAAAGCTTTCTTTTTTCCAGCCATGGAGATTTAGGGGTGTGTGTAAGGAGAGTTACATGTGTTTACACACACACACACACACACACAAATATATAATCCTTCTTCACATGCACTGTTAACGTGAGCTCGTCAGATTCCATATTGGTTTTGTGAACAGATTTCATAGGTTACTTTAATTCAAGCGTTTCCATCTTGCATCACGCCAAACAACCATTCATGTATCTCTTTCTCTCGCGCTTAACCCAGTTTTTCTTGCTTTTTTCTCTCGCTTTTAATAATTATTAATTATTCTTTGTTTTCTAACGTCTCTTTCCCTGTTTGGTGATAATTAACTAATGGGATCGCAAGAAATAATAATAAAAGACTGAATTTACGTTTTTATCCTTCAATGGTGTATTTTTATCTCACACAACTACATATTTTTTGTATCAATTTGATCACAAGAAAATTTGAATAATTTATTTCAATTCTCTAAGAATAAAATCTATCTCAGAATATCATGTAAAAGAAATTATGACACCTTACAAAGTTGTAGTAAAGCAAGATACAATTTTAACAAATCAAAATATTAGTTCACTCAAGAATAATGTAAGTCCTCAAACTTGTCCTGGAACATTATTCCCAAGCAGATGGAATCAGACTTTGGCATGAATTTCCACATCATGTAGAATATTAGTCCACCAATTCAACAATATTGTTATGGCCTGTCCAAATTGACAAAATTAAGCTGACTAATATATTTCATTATTTGTTCAATTAATTATTTTACCCTTATTTCAGCAGATAATCAGTTATCCAGATTATAAGATTCAGACGTTGTATAATAGGACCAAGAGCTAACTAGATAATAGATTTAAAATTCTCCGTGTAAATAACATCTTATATTTCCCATAATTTCAACGGAAACAATAAATAAAACTGGGACCTCAATTTCAGATGAGAATTTGGTTCTTTACTGACATGTTTAAGGTTTCATGTATCACAGAAGGGGACAGTTCAGATCAAAACGATGATAAATCTAAGATACATACATAATAATAGCCTTACAGCCTGAGCCAAATACACAAGGATGTTCTATAATCATTAATTAGTTGATGATAGCCTCTGGTCGAAGCTGTACAAAACAACACCAAAACACACCCAACAGCTAAGATATAGCCAAATTATTGAGCATGAGTCATTTCATGTCTGTCTGTCTCTCTCTCTCCAAAGGGTTTAAACTCTTCTGCATAGCGGTCATCTTTTCCTCCTCTTGGGCTCCACCTGCAAATTTTGTTCATGCCTTCAGCAGCTTAGTCAGAAAATCATCAACTATAGAGAACACAAAGTATATTAACAACGTCAGTCAACTTGCCTTAATGATCATTGATTATTAATTGTTTCTTTTTGGCATCAGACATTGTTATCTGACAGATAACAGAACAGAAATCTCAAGACCTGATAACTACTAGCACCCTTCACCATTAGAATTCAGACCAGATATAGTCTTTCTTCCTTTTTTGTTTTCGTTTTCTTTCGTTTTCGTTGTTGTTTTCGTTTTTGTTTTTTTTTTTTTTTGTCCCACCAAATTGACACTCATTCCAATTCTATTTACAAGACAAAGAGATTTTTTTTTTTTTTTATCCTACTTATAAGTCATGTTAATTGACTTTCTATCTCAAGTTTCCCTCTTCACCCACATTAAATGTTAGGGAAAAAGGTATATTATTAAAAATATGTATACTTAATAAGGATAAAATTGAAAGCTTATAAAATTTTTAGATAAAATTAATAAATTTTAAGATTTTCCTCGGTTTCGATAAAATATATTAAGAATAACTTATAAATAGAACTGAAGGATGATATCATTAGAATCCCCAACTGATAAATGCACTTAACAAAAGGTCAAGCATGAGATAACATGACAAGGTGCTAATGTGAGGAACTGAGGATTACAACTACAGTATCTACATTTGCAGAATAGTTGAGTCCTGTCACTTAATGTAATAATCTTATCAGGAAAAACGTGCCAAAAATGAATATTTTTAAGAATTTTAAAATCACATAATGCTATGTTTGGATACATAAAATTTGGAGTTGGATTTGCATCTGTTTGCACATTTTAAGATTTATAGATTTAGATTTACTTGTGTGTGCATGCATCTGAAATATAAGGATTTCAAATTTGAGAATTCAAATGTAAGATTTCAAATCCAAATTCACTAATCCAAGCACTACCTAAGGAAATATGAGAAAGATTCGAACTCTAAAGCATATCTGAGCGGAAGCTATGCCCCCAAGGAACAAAAGCCTTTTAACATGTACTTACACAATTCAACTACCCCAAAATAAGCAGTTCTAAATCTAGAAGACGCACCAAATGAAGAAAAGTGGAGGTCCAGCACAATGAGAAATGACCCATACAGCAATAATTATAATATGCAGATGTACAAGTACAACCAAAATTTCAAATTTTCTTAATGACAGCAACATGGTAAATTAAATCTAGAATTTATTCAAAAGTAAAAAAAGAATCACCTAGCACATTTCCAGATTTGCAGTTACATGCCTAGCCCAAACATACCTAAACCTAGTCAAACCAAAAACCAGCTCAGTGCTGCACAATGTTGATGCAGTGGGCCTAAAAATGATTTAAGTTTGATATCAGCACGTATAACAACTAACAGGATCTGAAATCAGTCAAAAGCTAAGTAATCATGACTTCAGATCTCATGCTTAGTTGGTTGATGTGAACATCCAAAAGAATGATGCAAATATATTAAAATTAATTACGGGCAAACCAAAGTGGAGATAGATCAGAAGAACACAAAATTTAAAGCAAGCTTGGCAAGAATCAAATCACAAAAAACAGTTACAATCTAAACATTGCAAACCATCCTCCATTATCTGCCTCCCTCCCATAAAAAAGGGGGAAATATGAGACAAGTGATTAGTTTGAAAGTATTGCCAGTATATCTATGACAACGAGTTGAAGACGGTTCACGTATTACCAGCATCTAGATAAAGCACAAAAACATCGACCAAATCATAGTTTAGCCAAAACCACATTACAAGGAACATCATGCAGGTACTACATTTTACCTTTATATTATTGATTTCCAAATATAAGAAAGTAATTGAAATTTATTTCTCCGTGAAAACATTAGAAGTTCCTGAGGTCAATACAAGAGGAAGAATGGGAAATGGATCTTTAAAGGAGGAGTGGTTTGATCAGAGACTTCGGGATCCCCCGTTTGAAAATTGGCAGATGAGATAAGGTATAGCAAGCATAGAAATTAAGTATGCACAGTGCAGATTAAATAATGATATAAACGAATCAAGCAAAAGCATTACAAGTGGCTAGAGATTAAAAACTCGTCAAATTGAACATGATTCAATATTGAGGCCATCATGTCCACTAAATGTCAACTATATTCATATGACTGTCACACAAGTGCATTAAAGAAAATCAAGGGAACATGAAACAAAATGTTTAAGTAGAAAGGTGGGCATTGCATTAAAGATCTTCTGTTTATTGTTCTACAGCATTAGCTAATTTTACTTTGCTGAGAAACACAATTGAACCAAAAAAAGAAGGGGGAAGGTTAAACTCTCTTGGGTCAAGGAAAAATATAAACAAAACGTAAAAAACAGAATTAAAGAAGTTAACTTTGGCACCTGGACAGAAATAACACAATACGGATGTTAGATTATATGAAATAGGATGCATGTCAGATGATTTTTCATGCTAATCTAATTGAATGAGTTAATCTGATTTGGTCCTCCTGTAACTCTGCCAGAGTGGATTTTATGGTTTGGTACAAAAGCATGTCTCCAAATTATTCGGGACTAAACACAGGCAGCCTCACCTTGCCATCATCAGCTGGAGATGCAGAATATGTAGCTTGGGGCATCTTTTTCATGTCGTCATCAGATGAACATTCAGAACACATAAAATGGTCCAGTTTCTTTGCTTCTTCAATAGTCATGCCCACACAAGCAGGATGGTACCTACAAGAAATCTACAAAGGTTGAAATAGGAATTTCATAAAAACACACGCACAATAATTAAGATATCAAAAACCGTATAATAATACGACTTCTTGGAAACTTCATAAATTTCACAATCTATCAGAATAAAAATATTGTGATACCTAATAAGATCAGTGAATAACCAAAACAAATCAAAGTGATTCCAGATAAAATTAGTTGATAAATGGAAAATGGTTGCACTTTGAGATAAAACTATTTGACCCCTGCATCATTTAATATCTATTGTCTGACACAAATTGGGGGAATACGACAGCAAAACTCAGAATAATGATTTTAGCATTAGCAGCCGAATTGCAGACAGAAACTTTTATCTCCTCTTTAGTCTCGATTTGATCCTTTCTCTTCCTCTCTCTCTCTCTGACTGCCCATGTGAATTGCTTTCTCGAGACTGACATGAAAATCATGTCCATATAGAGATTCAACAACAAATTCAAAGTCGATTCAAATTATTGGACACTTCAGGAGACATCTTCCTGAGGCTTCTTGAAGTCTTCGAGTTATTTTCATTCTTCCCTTTTCGGTTGTAGTGCCAATATTGACCTTGTAACACTCTTCACCTTCAGCAAGCGGTGAAACCGTCAACTATCTTCATTAACGCAAATGCAACTTCAACGCTGAACCAATAGATCTGAAAGTCCAATAGGCGATACAAAATGCAAAAATAGCCAACAGGAAAGGCAGAAAACAATGATTTTACCAATCTTTGCACCCCTCGCATTGCACCATGAGGTCATCTGGGTTATAAGGCATTTCGCATTTGCAATACCTTCCAGATAACAAACCAAAACAACAAAACCCCATTAGTTCCTATGCCCAAAACACAAAAGTTCCATCAAAAAGAAAAGAGAAACGCCAAGAAACTCACACAGCTACACGGTCAGGTGTGAAAGCCCCAGTAGCAGCCTTGTATTCGAATCTACAATAGTAATCTTCAGCCCCTACATTTTCGAGCTTGGTGTAGTTCTTGAAAGAGTGCACGATACACTTGCCTTCAATGGTGTGAGCGCTCTGAACATCATAATGGTCCGACAAAAACAGCTCTTTAGCTCCATGGAATTGCCTGCGTCCCCCAATAGACTCTTCCGGCCGATAATACCACCTGACACGGACTTTAACGTTGCTCCTATTGTCCTGTTCGATCTTCTCCACTCGCGCCACGTACGGAGGCTTGCTGGTGTCGGAAGGTCGCATTAACACAGTGTCTCCAGCTGCAAATCCACCACAAAAGCACAAGTTTTTCAAACACCCCACTTCGCTCGCTTCCGTAGGAAAAAGAAGAAACGCAAAAAAAAGAAACAAATTTCAACAGAGAAACAGAAAAAGGCACGGATTTGGAGAAGCAAGGACGAGGGATTACCTCTAACGACCTTGTTGGTGCCTCTGATAGTGTAAGAATCGAGGTCTCTCCTGCCGGGTCTAGTTTTCGCCATAAGACCAAGGGGACGTTAAGGCAAGAAGAAGGAATGTGAAATTGGAAAACCTAATAAGAAGTTTCGGGGAGGAAGGAGAACAGAGGAGGAGGAACCCTAAGGAATGGAAAAGAGTGAGACGGTGACACTTCGCCTGAGTTACAGTCAATTTTATAGAATGCGGTCAAGCTCATTATAACGTTTGGTGACGACCCTGTTGTTGTATTGTTGGGGATTGGTGCTGCAATCTGTGCTTCCTGCTTTACAATGTCCGTTAGGAATGGCCAATCCACAATCCCTTGCCTTGACGTTTCTAACGTTTTTTCTTCTCTTCTCTTTTTTTCATTTTCTTTCTTTTGGGCTATTTTTTCTTTTAAACTTTTACACGCGTATTCAGGTGCCTTCCTTTTGTGAGTTTGTCTCATAGCGACAAGCTTTGTCCAAACAAGATAAAATTACAGCTACAGACACTGCCCCTTGACTCCCTTTCCTCTGCCTAGTGGCAGGACATCTAATGGAATCTCGTGGGATTGGAATACAAAGAAACGTACGTGTCCCCTGTTCCTATTTATAAATCTATCATGTTGCTATTTATTAATTTTGTAAAAAAATTAATAAATTTTTAATTTTATTTTCATTAAATATAGTTTAACAATCTATTTTCTCTTTCAAATATTCAATGAAAGGTCAAAAAAAAATTTATTGTAAAAATTTAATAATATAATTTATAAATACGATAAAAAATTCTTTCTTTTTACCTTATAAATAAGACTAAAATGAGTATCTTTTATTTCCTCTATCTAACAATATAACACATCTTCTTAAAACCATGCTTAATTCAAAATATAAAATATGGGTAGCTTTTATGATTATTTTTTCAAGCACTTATATAATTATGAAGATATTTATATAAAATATTTAATAAGTGTATAATTAAAAAGATATAATTTTTTAAGAAATATAATTAAAGTCTCAATTATTATTTTTTTAAGGTTACAAATTAGTTACCAATATTTTATATCATGACGAGAAGAGAGTACTACTTAATAAGAAAACTCTCACATGTCTTTATATCATAATAACAATAATTTAAAAAAAAAAAACCTGCCCGTTGCTAAGAAAGCATTACATCTATGAGATCTGTTTCAATTTTGATTTGGATTAATTGTAGCTATAGTCAAATAAAAGTCGATTTTACACTAAATATAATGATGTGATCAACAAGTTTCTTAGGCCATGTTTAGTGTTTTTGAAAGCACTTTTTATGGAATAAATATAGGAATAGGGATGATAATAGGAAATAAAATAAAAAAAATTAAAAAAACAATGTATATATTTCTGAACAAATGAGTGAAATTTTGATATTTGGTATACAGATACACTTCAGGTATGGAACGGAAGATTTAACATTCCTAAAAATAAGACCAAAATATCCCTACATCAAAAATGATTCTTCCACCAATTAAAAAATAGATTTGGACATGATGAACTACGAAGAAAACCCAAGACAAGTATGGTTGGGCGTGTGAAAATGGAGAACAAAGGTAGTAGTACATAGAAGATTTAAAGGTGAGCAACGATCTAATATCTCTGAAAATGGAGAACAAAGATAGTAGTACATAGAAGATTTAAAGGTGAGCAACGATCTAAAAATGAGATATTAGATCAGACATCGATGTCAATAGTGATAAAAAGAAAAAAAAGGTCAAATATAGCATCGATGGACTGGCAGCAAAATTAACATTGTCGTCGTGCACTCACCGTTGTTGTTCAAAGCTCTATTAGCATTTATTATCACAAAAAAACAAAAAAGCTCTATTAGCATTAGATTTCATGATTGTTGTTAAAAAAGCTAGAACAGAAGAACAATGTTTGAAGGCTGAGTGTTTTTTAATGACAAGTGGGTCATTATGAAAATTTATTGAGGATAAAATAGTCAACTAAATTTTTCTTCCCAAGAACTCACAAATTTTTATTTGGCCCCTCTTCATTTTTCTTTTTTATTTTTTTTCTTTTTTTCTCTCTCTTTTTTTTTTTTTTCCATTTTGACGGACAATTCAATACCTTTCTCGGGAACCCAAAGTTTTGCACATCAAACAAGGAATTTGCCCGGTCCCTCTTCATCGCCCTTTCCGCAGGCTAAAATGAGTTTTTTGATTTCTATACATAAATTACATTATTAAATTTTTATTATAAATTTTTTATTTTTATTAAATATTTATGAAAAAATATATTATTAAAATATATATTTAATAAATATAAAATTCAAAACTCATTTAATTTTCAAATAAAGTTAAAAGTAATTTATAAATAAAATTAGAGGAGTAACTTAATATAAAAAAATTTTAATTAATTTATACAATTTAAAAAAATTAGTTAATTAATTATAATAATTATGTCTAAAATTGAAATGTTTGAACTGAAATGCCCTTATAATTAATGTTTATTTTTTCTCTAATTCAATGGTACTATTTAATATTCAATTATGAGGAAAAATTAGAAAAAAATGTAATTAATACTTTTTGAAATTCATAATTTTACTTATAATAAATAATAACAAGATATAGGATAGTTTATGTAAGTCATTTTCCCTTTTTTTTATCCTTCTATGTATAATTCTAAAATTACCCCAATATTTCAATTTTTAAGAAAATTTTTTCTACAAATCAAATTACTCTTTCTCAAATTTAGAGATAAAATTTAAAAGTTATTTATTTTTAAAATAATTTTATTATTCTAACTAACTCATCTTGATTTCAGTGAATGCATTAAAAGTAATTTATAAAATGAATAAAATAGTATTTAAAAATAAAGTGAGTACATGTGTATAGTTGTTTAAATCTTCAATATTGTAAAACAAGCTGGCATGACTTTCATTGCTAAGTGTATTATTGAAAGAGAGCTCACTTATTGCGCTCTTCAAATTTGATTTAATCTCACATATAATTCACAAAGAGTCACATAAATTTGAAACGGCAGAGGGAAACAAGAGCTTTGTCTATGACATATTAATGCTTATCAAATCTAATTTAATATGCATAGTGGACGGATTATTACATCACTTTTAAGAAGAAGAAGAGGGGAACAACAATTGAAATTCATACAATGAAAAGAAATGGGTTTGTTTGACTTATTAGCACTTCATATTTAATTTTAAAAGAATCACATTTAAGGACCCTTTAAAAAAATATTTACAAACAATAACTAATAACAAATTTTATTTAAAAAAAATGAGTCATGTTTTTATTTTAATAACAATCCTTTCCGTATTATTCATTATCTATGAATAATTTTTTTTAGAGGTCCTTGAATGAAATTCTTCCTTTATTTTTTTCTTAAAAAAAAAAACACATAGTTCACACAAACCTGTGTATTTTGAAAAGAGAGAAAGGCTAAATGAGAAAATTAAATTCACACAGATGGAGAAATATGTTTATCCAACACAGTGGAACATACTCAAGGTTAATTTTAAACAAAATTAAAAAATTGACACTAATTCACATGAAATAGACACAAATTTTTTGCATGAAAGCATGGGGTTGATAAAATGATTTGTAGTATTCAAGCATTTATAATTAGCAAGTTGGTTCTATATTGGAGAAATCAACCACCAGAGGAGGCTATAAATATCTCAAAAGGACTAATTTTTTTTTTTAAATTATCGCTTAGGGCAGGAGGATTAATTGGAAAAGAACTTTGTATAAAAAGTGATCCTAACTCTCTTCCTTTTTTTTTTTAAATTTTTTTTTTTTTAAATCACCCTCCCTATAAGCACCAGCATCAACACCAATTGTCTGGGAGCGGCGGTCTTCGCGGCTATTTTTAGTGGAAGACTTGCAAAAGCATTCAGCTACGCGTTCACAGCGTGTGGCTTGGTCACATCACGCTAAGACGTGTCCCGGCCAATGCTCTTACTTTATTTGTATTCATACTAACAAGCCAATGTTAATCGGAAAAATGACAATAAAATTTTTTTAAATATATAAATAATAATTTAATTTTTTTAAAATATAATTATTTTATTAAATTTTTTTAAAAAATTTTTGTCATTAATAAATGTATATTAATAATCAAATTATTCTTGTTAAAAAAATAATTTATAAATTTATTTAAATAATTACAATTTTTTTATATTCACAATAATGCAATAGCAAAGCAAGAATTTAACATATAAAATTATAATTTATTGTTACATTAGTGCGAATAAAAAAGTTATGATTATTTAAACAAATTTGTGAATCGTTTTATTTTCAACAAGGACAATTTAATCATTAATATAAATTCATTAATAATAAAAAAATTTTTAGAAATTTAAGTGTATGACATTTGAGAGATTAAATTATTATTTATAAATTTTAAACAAATTTTGTTATCATTTTACCATCTTGATTTTATTTGGACTGGACTGGCAAGTGGCAACAGGGGGTTTAAATAAAGCTGTGAGTATTTCATGAATGAAGAAGGTTTAAAAACCTCGCAATTGGGTCCGAATGTTGATTGTTTAATTAGAATAAAATTCAAAATTGTGCCTACAGGCTACAGGCATCACATGACGAAAATTTACCAATACCACAGGGCAAAAGCATGCAGTTAATACCCCTCCCTTGTTACAGGGGAGCCTTTTATAAACTTGAGATTTTAAAAATTTATTATAAGCAACTTTTTACAAAAGATGTGTCGTTTTCATACAAAACACTTGATGAATATTAATTAAGAACTTTTTAATATTATCTCTATTTAAAATTATTAATTATAAAGGAGAATACAATGTAAATTTAATTTTTTTATTTAAATGTAAGTAAAATTAAAAATCTATTTTATTTAAAAATATATTTATAAGTCTTTACAGTTTCACTCAATTTTTGATCAAAAAACCAAACCACTTACTTATTACAGCATAAAGTCGATAGTTAAACTTAGTTGCAAATTGGAGGATTTGAAAATTCAAAAATTTGATGTGTTCACCTTTTGTATATTAGCAATTTTTGTTTGGCCAGCTATATTCGTGATTAAATGTTAGTGAAATAATGTGTTTGTATAGGTTTATTGTGAATTTTCAAACCTACTAATTTATACACATGAAATGAATTTGTTTAAATCTTAATTAAACTTATCATTTTATTAACTTTATTTATTAATTTGAGGGCCAGATGTAAGATGAGAGATTTTGAGAACCCAAAGATTTGATAGGTTGCCTTTTGTAAATTAACAATTAAATATTAGTGAAGCGTGTGTGTCCACATGGCTTGTTATAACATAAGAACATAAGTAGAGTCGTTAAACCCTTCAACTTATCATTTTTTTAATTTTACTTGTTCATATATTGTCATCAGTTT